CACAGGTCAATCTCAGGTGTTGCAATTCCCCTTGCACCTTGTTTGAGCTGGAATCTCTCCATAGGAGTGCTGGGACTACAGACATGGCTTTACATGGGTCTGGGGATTTGAACTCAGGTCCTCATGCTTGTGTGGCAAATGCTTTACCCATTGAGCCATCTCCCCAGCCAGACCTTAAACTTCTCATCCTCACACCTGCACCGCCTGAGTCGGGGATCACAGTGCCTGTGCTGCCATGCCCAGTTTATGGGGTGCTGGAGGTCAGACCCAAGGCTTCCTGCATGCTGGGCATCTGCTCCTCTAACTGAGCTATAGCCTGGTCCCTTTAATATTTTTACATTGTTTATTCTTGTGGGCTGGGGGGGGGTGAACTTGTGTGCCATGCTGGGTGTGTGCAGGTCAGAGGATTGAACCATGCTGTTGGGCCTGGCAGCAGGTACCCTTTCCTACTGAGCCATTTGGAAAACAGAATTCTTTATCAGTCACTCAATTAAGCACACAGACAACCTGAGCAAGAGGTAGGAAAGTGGCCCTGCCTTGCTCTCAGCTCGGCCCAGCATTAGGAGCCCCCCTATGAGTCTGGCCCTGTGTTAAGTCACCAGGCCGCAGGAAGGGTCCCATTCCTCTGCTAAGTGTACACACTCAGGGGGATCTGCTGGTGTTGTGGCTTAGGTCAGGTCATCAGAAAGATGAGGATGGGGAGGGTGGTCCAGGTAGAGGATGCATGCAAGGTCCACCCTTCTCCTCACAGGCTACTCCAGTCGGAGGGTTCAGAGCCCCAGTAGCAAGAGCAACGACACTCTCAGCGGCATCTCCTCCATCGAGCCCAGCAAACACTCAGGCTCCTCCCACAGCCTGGCCTCGGTGAGGAGCCAGGGAGGGATATGTGTGGGGGCAGGTGCCACCAGGATGCTCTTGGACTCTGCCCTGGGGAAGCTTCTGGACTGTTAGGGAGATGAGAGAGAGGCCCCTTCATTCCTTCACACCCTCATTCGTGAGTTTGGGCTTTAGAGCCTGGGTGATGGTGTGTGGGTGCCAGACAAGGACCTTATCAGGAAAGCCTGGGCATCGGACATTGAGCAAGTCCCTGGGAGGTGCCTGGAATGGGGCTAGGCCCTGAGGGTGTAGAGAAAATGGAGACAAAGGTGAACACTGTTTTGCTGGTGCTCAGCTTTGGGTTCATTAACTTATTATGAATCCATTCAGCAAGGATCAGGCCATAGCTCTAAGCCTGGCTCTCGCTCTGCCCTGGTGATACCCTTGCCCTCAAGTCTCCTGTGGTAAGGTAGAGGCCACACTTGAGAGGCTCCAAAACAAGGTGGCAGTATCTGTCCTTGTCTGACTGGTAGAGCAGGGACTGGGGCCCCGGGAAGTTTCATACATGGCTGTTTTGGTATCTGTATTTCTTCACATTTGGGAAGTTTCTATGGGGCATCATCAAGCTGTTCTGAAGAGTGTTGGCCTAGCTCACTCGGGAGGTATCGGGAGGGCCTGTGGCCTGTGGTCAGGTGGTGGGGTGGCTTAGTCGGTCCCACATAGGGCCTCACTTCTTCTCTGTATACTTGGTCCCCAGATGGTAGTGGTCAATTCATCCAGCCCCACAGCTGCGTGCTCAGGTTCATGGGAAACCAGAGGAATGGAGGAGTCTGTGCCCACCACCGATGGAAGTGCTGAGAGCCTCTATGTACAAGGTTCGACTGGGAGGCTAGCCCAGGGCCTAACTGTGGCGGGGAAATGGCCTTCTAGGAGTCTTCAGTTACTGTCCCACCCCATGTCCCCAGTCACTACATTGCAGCCCTTTCTGATCAGAAGACCAGACCTTCCTGGGTGAAGGCCTGAATACTAACTAGTCCTGAGAAGCCAAGACCCAGGTGTCCAGCCTTGCCCAGTTCCGATCCTGCCGTGGCCTTTGCTTCCCTGTCATGCTGCATCCCCTTAGGGGTGAGACGCTGGGACCTGAGCCTCTCTCCTCTCACGTGTTCTCAGGCATGGAGCTGTTTGAGGAAGCCCTGCAGAAATGGGAGCTGGGACCCAAACCCAAGAGCCCCAGGCTGGGAGGAAGCAACACCCCACTTCCATGCTTGGGGCTGGAGATCAAGGGTGGCAACACAGCCACAGAGCTCACAGGCTGAACCCCCACACCAGCTCCCACCCTCCACCTTAGGCAGAGGCCCAGCTTGTGCCTCCTTGTAAGCGTTCTTATGCCACCTGGATCATCCCTGGACAACCGTCCTTTGCTGTCCAGCTTGTCACCTGCAGGCCATGACACTCATGTAGTGGAATGTCCCTTGCTTGGTGACACCCCAGTAACAACTACTACTATGTGCACCTGTCTCCTAAGTCCTAGAAACTCTCTTTTCCAGGTGACCCCTTTTCAGTCTCTTCTGTAGGGAAAGTCTGGGAGGACTTGAAGGGTTTGTCCAGGTACATAGGATTGAAACTCTGTCTGTGTGTGTGTGTGTGTAGTGTGTGTGTGTGTGTGGCGGGGTAATGCTTCAATCCAGTGACAGTCTTGGGTCACCTAGAGACCCATTGTTTTCTTGGAAACATGTTCAGCCAGCCAGTCAGCCAACCAACCAAAAAAGCAAGAAGAGGAGCTGGAGATCTGGCTCAGCTGCTAGAGCACTTACCTAGCATGCAGCAAGCCCTGAGCTCAGTCCCCAGCACCATGTCAAACCTGGTGATAGGGAGCAAACTTGGGTCTTCTGCAAGACCAGTATGCTATTTAACTAAACCACTGAGCCATCTTTCCAACCGTGGTTGATAAGTTTCTTTCTTTCTTTCTTTCTTTCTTTCTTTCTTTCTTTCTTTCTTTCTTTGTTTTGTTTTGTTTTTTTGAGACAGGGTTTCTCTGTGTAGCTTTGGAGCCTATTCTGGCACTCGCTCTGGAGACCAGGCTGGCCTTGAACTCACAG